CATCCGCCTCTCGGAGTCTGGGCTGGGGACCCCGGGCGACAGCGCCTCCTGTCGCCCAGTGAGGCGTGTGGGGTGGGGCAGAGTGAGTCGTCCAGCTAGTGACTGGGAGATTTTACGCAGGGAAGGGGAATGCGGGGGCGAGCCAGTGAAAGCGAAAGATCTTTAGGGAGACAGCCTGAGACAGAGACATCGCCAGAGATGCTACCCCCAAACAGCAAGAGGCTGCCGTTTTATCTCTCACACATACACCCCCTTCCCCACGCCACCCCGGCTCGTTCTTTCCTATCCCCCTAGCAAGACTGGAACCACCCGCGTGCCCTGGGGCCGGAGTCCCGGGCTCCAGATGTGAATTTGGTTCCAGTGGGAAGAACGCGAGCTTCCTCCGGGCCTTGGCACATTCTCCCACTCTGAGGTCATTCCGTAGGTGGTCAGAGGGGAGCGCGCGCCTGGAGCCTTCCTGCCTCCATCCATTGGAGAGGGAGGAGAGGCGGGCGGGAGGGAGCAGAAAGGGAGAGGGGAGGAGCGCGAGGGAGGGAGACGCCGCCAGCACACCACCAAGTGGCACCGAGCAGTGATAACAAACTCAACTTAAAAAAAAAAAAAGAAAGAAAGAAAAGAAAAAGAAAAGGAAAAAACTTCCCCAAGTTGCTGCCTGAGATGTGCGGACGTGCGGTCTGAGGCGCGGGGTAGGGAGTGTGGGTGGCCCAGAAGTCTTCAGGCTGCGGAGAGCTCAGACCAGGAGCCAAGTAGGCCCTTGCAACCTTGGTTGCATAGGGAGATGTGTTGGAGGCTGGCTCAGCTTCCTGCTGGAGACCCCGGGGTAGCCGGGTCCCATGGGGGCAGGACCCGCTGGTGAGGGCGGTGGGGGGAGGGGAACTGGAAGACGAGTAGTACCGCGTTCTATCCCTGGAACCCGCATCACACACACACCCGGGACTCCCAACCTCCCTGCGACTTGGGCAGATCCGGCCCGCAGGTCTGGAGAGCTGGTGTGTGTGTGTCTGTGTGTGTGTGTGTGTGTGTGTGTGTGTGTGTGTGTGTGTATTTAGGTTCTCCCACCTCTAGGCCCATGTGAAAGCAAAGCACTACCATAGGCTCTACAGTCGACTTTTTATTAAGATTATAAATTTAAACAATCTGAACAGTTTTACCCGGTGAGATTCAATTCAGTATGCACAAAAATACAGGAGGAAGAAGGGCCAGGAAGGTAAGGTTGGCAACTTGTTTTGGAGTCCCTGGGGTGGTGACAGTAGAGACTCAGAGGGGGTCTAGGCGAACCTCACCTTCTCACAACAAAAGGCTTTTAAATTAAACAAAATCTATTGAGCTGAGGACGCAGACAGGGTTCTCACAGGCTGGAACAATGCTGGTTTCATGAGATGGAACCGAAGACTGAAGCAAGACAAGGTAACTTAGAAGCGCGCACACAAACACCACAACTGACCAGGAGCTAAGTGAAGCTAAGCGAAAAGTCTCCAGAGCAGTCCGCGGTCCGGGCCCCTCCCTCCCCCGGGGCCGCCGGGGATCCAGGTGAAGGAATCGACTTCCTTTTTTGTTTAGTGAGGACCGCAGTACTGGGCATGATGGGAAATGTAGTTCGCCCTGCTCGCCCCCCACCCCTTCCCCAACAGAGCTGAGTGTCGGGGTGTCGGGCGCCACCTTCCCCCTGGTCCGGGAGGCGGTGGAGGAGGGGAGGAGGACCGAGCCAGAGGGGCGGAGAGAGGAGGGGTTCTAGACGCCCGCCCCGGCAAGAAAAGAAAAAAAAAAGTTGAAGTGTTTTCATTTCTGCCTTCTCATTTTGAGAACTTTGGAGGCCGCCCCCAGAGAGGAAATGTGACCGAAACGTCCCTTTTGGAGATAGAGTTTGCCTTTGTTTTTTTGCTCAGAATTTCACAAGACTCATTCCTCACCCCAGAGAGGAACTCAGGAGAGCGGAACGTCGGGCTTCCAGGCTCTGACAACTGATTGGAGTCGGCGTCCCGAGCCCCGCGCCCTCCTGCGTTGGCCCCCTGCCCCCCCCGGCACCCAGCCTCGCCCCCGGCTACCCCGCACCTCCTCCGGGCAGCAGCCCTGCCTCACGTGGCAGGCTCCTCGCTAAACACCACTGCAATCAGTACAATAAAAAGAAAAAAAGAGTAAGAGAAACACAAAGCATACTTAAATAGGCGCTTTTTCTCTCTGCAAAAATAAAGTCCAAGATTTTTTAGATTTTTTTTTATTTTACAATTTATAAAACAGCCTCTGCTCGCCCCCAGCTTGCCCCGAGTGGCCAGGACCCGCTCGCTCCCTACCGTCCCTTGGCCGAGTCTTTGTCTGGCCCCAGCCCCGCGGGGCCCAGGGTCCCCATGCCCTCGGGGGTCCCTAGAAGGCGACAATGGCTCGAGTCCAGGCGCCGAGGCTGGCGAGCGCCTGCTTGGCGCACAGCTGCCCGTTGAGCGGCGGCGGCTGCTCCGAGGAGTCCGGCTGTCGGCTCACCAGCCCCGAGAAGCCCGAGCCAAAGATGGAGATCAAGTTTGAGATGTTGGACGCGTCCGGGGACGAGTCCGGGCAGAAGTCCTCAAAGCGGGCGCGTTTACAGGGGGCGAACGGGGCGCCCCCGGGGGGCTCGGCTCCCAGGTCACCCGCGTCCTCCTCGTCGTCGTCCTCTTCCTCCTGGTCAGGGTAATACTTGCGCTTGCAACCAGGGGCTGAGGCCAGGCCAGGTCCCGGAGCGCCCTGGCCACAGCAGGGGCAGTGGGCGGAGGCGCAGCAGTCCTGGTGCAAGTAGCCGTTTTCCACCGTGGTCACCACGTGAGTGTCCAAGTCCAGCACGGTGGTCTGGCTGCTGCAGTGCACACCGAAGTCCGAGG